GCACAGGGACAGCGGCGCCCGTGGCGCCGTCGCGGCCAGGGCCCCGCGCGCCGACTTCAGGCCCAGGGAGCCCTTCCTCAGCAGAGACCCGTTTCACAACCTAAAGCGGCCCCGGCCGCCCTTCGCCAGGGGCTCGCCCTTCTTCGCACCAAAACGCCCCTTCTTCCCGCCCCGGTACTGACGCCGCATCCCTCAGCCACTGAGCGAAGGCCTTTGGACGCTCCAGAGCGCAGGGCAGCGGCGCTTTCACTTGTTTGGGGTTTTTCCTTTTCCTCCTTCTTCCCTTTGTTTTCTTTTTCCTCCCCCAGGACCCCCTGTAACATTTTTTTTTTTTCCTAAATTAAATGTTCTGTACTTTTTGGTTTTTTGGTTGCTCATCCTCTAAGCCAACACGTTGGCCTAAGAACTAGGGGAAAAGAAAACAGCTGTTTTAACAGAAATTTCCAAGAAGTATTGCTGTTGAAATAAAACTTCCACTCGTAGTTTAAAAAGGATAAAGTCCAGCTCAGCCACGCGACCGTTGGGATGTTCTTGGAGCCTCGCGCGTCCTCCGGCCCTGGGGCACATGGAAAAGGAGAGCAGGAGGTGGGGGAAGGAGCCCCGCTCCTCTTCAGCATGAAGTACAAGTCCCAAGTTTTCCCTGGGGCTTGGAATATTCACCCCTCCTGTGCCTTTCTGTTGGGATTAACCGGTCGCTTCCTCCGCATGCGGAGAGGGCGGCCACCAGCGCTCGCTTCTTCATCGCTCCCGGCTGCTGCTTTCCACAAAAAAAAGAGAAAAAAAGGCAAAAAAAATCCTTCTTATGGCTCACAGTGTCCACATCTCCCCCAGAAACCTTGAACTGCCCCTTCGTGTTCCCAAACTCCCATTTTCTGCCCCCCAAAAAGAGAAGCCTGTGCCTGGACGCAAGGAGGGGGCTCGCGCTGCAGCCCGACGCGCTGCACTGCAGGGAAGAAAAGCATCAAAAAAGGCAAAATCCCGATGCTGCTTCGCAGCCGGGGTCGCTGCCTCCTTCCCCTCCGTGTGTGTATATAAAAGTACCCGCCTTTTAACGCCCTCTCTCCGGTTCTTTGCAACCCGCAGCCTCTGTGCAGAGAGGGAGAGACCCCGCATGCCGAGGGATGGACACGGCCCGACTTCCTCCCCCTCCTCCTCCTCGCGCCTCTCGGACGGCACCGGGCGCGGGGGCAACTTTTATATGAAGTTGGAATTTTACTTGATTTTTTTTTTTTTTTTAGGTATTAGACTACATCATATATGTTTGATAACGGTGTAGGGTCGATGCCTATATAAAGATTACAAAACCAGAAAGTGGCAGATGGTCCTTTGTCACGGGGGACGCGTTTTATTTAACGGGCGCTGGCGCGGCTGACTTCTACGTATCTGCTTCGTTATTATTATTATTTCTAATCCTTTTCCTCCCCTTGTCTGTGGCCGCCGGGCTGGCGGCGCTGCCCCTCTGGCCGACTCCGCATGGAATTTGCGCCGCCGGCACCGGAGCGGTCCCCATCCCCTACCCATCCCGTGCCGCCAGCTCCGGCGTTTTCCCCGGATAACGAATGTGAATGACGATTTCTTGCTGCTCTTGCCGGACGCGGTGGTTTCGGCTGCCGAAACGCGATGGCCCCGACGCTCCCGAGGCCGTGCGGGGAGAAAAGGACTCGGACCGTGGCGGAAACACTGTAAAAAGAGAGAATAAAAATATAAAAAATAAAACCATTTTGGGTAGGAGCCCCGAGGCGGCTGCGGGCCGGGGACGCGCTGTACATATGTAAAAACCCCCGGTTGTTTTTCCCCCCCTCCTTGCCCCTCCCCGTGTCTGTGATTTAAACGCCCTGACACCCCCCTTAAATTTTGTATTTCCCCTTATAAGGAGAGAGGAAAAAAAAAAAAAAGGAAAAACAACCCAAGAACTAAAATAAACGTGTATTTTTAAATAAAGCATGAACCAGTGTGTCTCGTAAGGCCAGGGCTGCGTAAGGAGAAACGGGAGGGATGGGGCCTCCTGACAGACTCTGAATAACGCTCATTTTATCACTACGATTTTTTCACTCTGCAGAATCAGGAACCTGCTGTAAACAGGGCTCTTTTTGAGTTCTTTTTGCCTGTTCTCCCCTCCTTTCTGTGCCGGTTAGAGTGGGGGGAGCCGCGGGACGGCAGAGCAAAACCCCCAAAACCTGCGGTTTCCCACCCATTTCTGACGGCGCCTTTGGGTGACTCAACCCCGCCGGGAGGAAGCGCCCAAACCCCTGTCCCCCTCCCGCGGCTGCCGTGTCCCCCGCCCCGCTTCTGTCGCGCCCGCACGTCCCGCCGCCGCCGCCGCCGCCGCCGCCGCCGCGAGGAGGGGCCCCGGCGTCCGGGGCGGGGCCCAGGCGTCCGGCCCGGCGTACCCGGCGCGCGGAAGGGGCGGCGCAGCGCGGCCATGAGGCTGCCCCGGGCCGGGGGGGCGCTGCTCCGCCTGGGCCCCCCGCGCCGACACCGGGTGCGGGACCGGGGGGGGGTCCCGTTGTCCAGCTCCCGTCCCCCACCCGCGCCATGGACCCAGGCGTCCCGGGCACCCTCCCGCGCCCCAAAACCCGTTGGGGCCCAGGGGGTGCCTTTGTCGCTAGCCTGGCCATGGAGGCGGGGGCCCTTTTGATGGCGGGTCCGCGGCTGCCGTGCCCACGGAGGGGACCCAGGCAGGGGTGCGGATGGGGAGGGGGCCCGGCCGTTGTGCCTGTCCCCGCCACCGTGCCCGCCGGGAGGGACCTGGGTGCCCTGACCTCTGCAGTGTCCCCTGTCCCCACCGCCCAGAGGGAGCGGGTCCATCCTGCCCTCCCCACTGCCACCAACCCCATGGGGAGGGGGCCCAGGCGTCCGGCCCTCCGCTGACGCTGCGCTGTCCCTGCAGGCGGGTGGCCCTACACCCAACATCAGCGAGCGCCTCCGCATCTTCGAGCGGCTACAGGCGGACGAGCGGCGGCGGCGGCAACAGGCGGCAACAGGCGGCAACATCCACATCTCGCTGCCCGGCGGTGTCCGCCTGCCCGGCCAGGCCCTGCTCACCACCCCCCACCATGTGGCCCAGCAGCTCGGGTAGGTGCCCGTGGGGACACGCGGAGGACAGGGTGGCAGGTGTCACCTGCACTGCCCCTGTCCCCACGTCCTCGCAGTGTCCGGGAGGCCCTGGTGGCCCGTGTGGACGGGGCCCTGTGCGACCTGGAGCAGCCCCTGCGCGGCGACGCCGTCCTGGAGCTCCTCGACTTCGGCCACCCCGAGGGACGGGCGGTGAGTCCCGACTGCCGCCACTGCAATGGGGACACGGTGGCTGCACGGTGGCCGTGTCCCGCGTTGTCCCCGCACAGGCGCTGTGGCGCTCAGGCGCCTGCGTCCTGGCCGCCGTGGCCGAGCAGTTCTACGCGGCCCCGTTGTGCTGCGCCGGCGCCACCGAGGGCGGCTTCTTCTGCGACCTGCACCTGGAGGGCAGGTAGGACCAGGGACGCCTGTGTGCTCACCCGGCCTCGCGCGGCCACAGGGTCCCTCCCGGGGTGGCCGTCACCGCGCGGCCCCCACACAGGACAGTGCAGCGGGACGAGCTGCCGGCGCTCGAGGCCGCCTGCAGAGCCTTCGCCCAGGCCCAGCACCCCTTCGAGAGGCTGGAGGTGACGCGGGAGCAGCTGCTGGAGCTTTTCCAGGTAGGAAACAAGCTCCGGAGCTGGCAGGGGCTACCAGGAACCTGGCGGGCGGACCTGGGACTGATACTGACCTCGCTCGCTCCAGCACAACAAGTTCAAGCTGAGCCAGATCGAGGAGGAGGTGACGACGGAGACGGCGACGGTCTATAGGTGAGCGAGGGCAGCTGTGTGCATCCCGGCCTCCACCTGGGCGCCCATGGGAGTGTCTGGCGCCGCTTGCCCCGCAGGTGCGGACCACTTGTGGAGCTGTGCCGGGGCCCCCACGTGCGGCACACGGGGCTGCTGCGCGCTCTGCGCGTGCTCACGGTGAGCAGGAGCCGCGGGGCGCGCGGGGGCACCGCGTTCCCGCGCGCTCATCCTGCCCTCGCCCTGCTCAGAGCTCGGCCGCGTTCTGGCGGGGGGACCCGTCGCGGGAGTCGCTGCAGCGCGTGGCCGGCGTCGCCTTCCCCAGCGCGCGGCTCCTGGACGAGTGGCAGCGCGCGCAGGAGGCGGCCGCGAGCTGCGACCACCGCCGCATCGGCCGGGTGAGCCCTGCGGAGCCGCGCGTGTGGGGCCACTGTGCGGCCGCCTTGGGCACCCCTTGCGGACACTCTTCTCTCCCCGCACAGGAGCAGGAGCTCTTCTTCTTCCACAAGCTGAGCCCTGGCAGTTGCTTCTTCCTGCCGCGCGGTGCCCGCATCTACAACACGCTCGTGGACTTCATCAAGGTAGCGCTACGTGCGCTCATGTCCCTGTGCGTCCAGCTGCATCGGCTCACGGTGCCCCCGCCGCAGGCCGAGTACCGCGCGCGCGGCTTCGACGAGGTGCTCACGCCCACCGTGTTCGACGCGGAGCTGTGGCAGCGCTCAGGCCACTGGCGCCACTACGGCCAGCACATGTTCTCCTTCAGCCACGACGGGCGCACCTACTCGCTCAAACCCATGAACTGCCCGGCGCACTGGTGAGCTGCGAGCAGCCGCGAGCCGCAGGCGCTGCAAAGCGCAGCGCACAACACGCCCGTTCCCCTGCGTTTCTGTGTCCCCTTGTTGCCCGCGCGGCCGCAGCCTGATCTTCGCTCACCGGCCACGCTCCTGGCGTGAGCTGCCGCTGCGGCTCGCCGACTTCGGTGCGCTGCACCGCAGGGAGCCTGCGGGCACCCTGGCCGGGCTCACCCGCCTGTGGCGCTTCCAGCAGGACGACGCTCACATCTTCTGCACGCTCGAGCAGGTCTGTGCCACTCCTGTCCCCTCTGTCTCTATTGCATCCCTCCCGACCCATTCGGGTCCCCCCATCCCACTCATGTCCCCCCCATCCCTGTCCTGTACCCGCATCCCTCTCCTGTCCCTCCCTGTGTGTCACACATCCCCTCCATTCTGCTTGTGTCCTCCCCATCCTACTTGTGTATCCCTGTTCCTCTCACATCCACCTGTCCCTCTTGTGTCTCTCCTCTGCATCCCACTCATATCCCCCCATCCCTCTCTTGTTCTCCCAGTCCCTCGCATCCTCCAGTCCTGCTCATGTTCCACCCCCATTTCTCTCATGTCCTGCCCTGTCCTGCTTATATCCCCCATTCTGTCCCTCTTATGTCCCACCTTGTCCCACGGGTGTCCCCATCTCTGCTGCTCATATCCCCTCGTTTGTCTCACTCATGTCCCCCCCGTCCCTCTCGCGCCCCCCGTCCCTCTCGCGCGGCCCCGTCCCGGTCTCCCCGCCCTGCAGCTCGAGGCTGAGATCAGCGGCTGCCTGGACTTCGTGCGCACCGTCTACGCCGCCCTCGGCTTCTCCTTCCGCTTGGCGCTCTCCACGCGCCCGGCCCATTTCCTGGGTGACGCCAGCACGTGGGACCGTGCCGAGCAGGTGGGGACGGTGGCCACGGGGGCGGCATGGGGGGACCCTCCTCTCCACCTCATCTCATGTCCCCCCTCTGGCTTTTTATGTCCCTTTAGCAGCTGGAAAAGAGTCTCCAGGACTTTGGGCAGCCCTGGGAGCTGAACCCGGGTGACGGTGCCTTCTATGGCCCAAAGGCGAGTGGCACCACAGGCCCCCCAGCCTCTCTGTCCCCGTTGGTGTCCCTCATACCCTGGTGACCAGGAGATGGGGCTCTAATTGCCGCTAATTGCCCCTAATTGTCTCTAATTGCCCCGTGCAGATCGACATCCACATCAAGGACGCACTGGGGCGTGACCACCAGTGCGCCACGATCCAGCTGGACTTCCAGCTGCCGGAGCGCTTTGGGCTTCTTTACAGCAGTCCGTGGTAGGGTGGCACCCACGGTCTCGTCCCCAACCTCAAATCCCCCTCCCCAAGCTCACACCCCCAAGCCTGCATCCCCATCCCCGCGGCACCATCCCCATGTCCCCAACCCTGCATCCCAGACTCTTGTGTCCCCATCCCCAAGCCCATATCCGCATGCACGTCCGCATCCCCAACCTCCTGTCCCCCATGTCATATCCCCGTCCCCAGCCCTGCGTTCCTGTCCCCATCTCCACGTCCCCATCTCCAGCCCCTCATCCCCAGCCCCGTGCCCCGTCCCCAAGGCTGGAACGTGGCCCCTGGTGCCCATGCTCTCCGCTCTTGGTGCAGCGGGGCGGGCGGTGCGAGCGAGCGGCCGGTGCTGATCCACCGCGCGGTGCTGGGCTCCGTGGAGCGCATGCTGGCCGTGCTGGCCGAGAGCTGCGGCGGCAAGTGGTGAGGACACATGGTGACATCGGCGGGGAGGGGATACCCCTGGTCGCCGTCTCCCTGAGTGTGCACCGGCCCGCAGGCCGCTCTGGCTCTCGCCCATGCAGGCCATGGTGATCCCGGTGGGCCCCGGCGAGGAGGGCTACGCTCGCCAGGTGGGTGCCCGCCTGTCTCCCCTGGTGTCCCCACCGTGGTGCCCGTGCCCCTGCTGAGCGCTGCTGCGTGGCAGGTGTGGGACGCGCTGCACGGCGAGGGCTTCGCCGCTGACTTGGACGCCGATGCCGGCACCACGTTGAGCCGCAAGGTCCGCCGGGCACAGCTTGCGCACTACAACCTCCAGCTGGGTGAGTGTGTGGCCTGCGTGTCTCCCGTGTCCTCACCGTGTTCTCCCTGTGGACGCCGGGCACCGCAGCCCTGGGCTTGGATGGTGGACGAGACGCAAGCGGGGCCCTGTGGTGGCCCCGTGCGAGGGAAGCACCGCGCGCTTGTCGCCAGCTCGCGCCACCGCGCGCTGAGTCACTTGCTCCTGGCCCCGTGCCTGCATCCGGCCATGCTGCGGCTGACGGGCAGGGAAAATCCCCCCGGCTGCTGGCGGAAGCTCCCGGGCATGCGCAGGGCCAGCACCCGCCAGCATGGGAGAAAGTGCTGGCGCCTTCCTGCGTGCTGCGCCAGCCGCACGTGGCACCGAGCCGGCCATGGCCAGGAAGGTGCCTGGCCACACGCATCTGCAAACACCTAGGCGTCCCGTGGTTGCAAACGTGTGTGCACTCCACAGGTGCACACATGCATCTCTCCTGCAGGTGCAAATGTGCCTGTGGAGGTGCAGGCATGCATGCACGGCATGGATGCAAGCATGCATGCACGCCCTGAGCGTCTGCGCGCTGGTGCAGGCGCACATGCAGTGTTGCAAAAGCCCCGGCGGTGCAACGCGCATCTTCCGGCACGCGCGTCCCCCCGTGCCTGCTTTTCCTGTGACGTCGTGGCACGTTTTGCGCGTGCGTGCGGAGGCCGCGCTCGCCCCCGCAGCGGCCGCCGTGTCTCTCCGCAGTGGTGGGCCCGCAGGAGCAAGCGCGAGGCACCGTCAACGTGCGCACGCGGGACAACCGGCGCGTGGGGGAGCGGGAGCTGCCGGCGCTGCTGCGGCGCCTGCGCGAGCTGCGCGCCACCCGCGCGCCCCACGCCGAGGAGCAGCTCTGAGCCCTGCGCCCTCCCGCGCGCTCACCACCATTAAAGTGCTGGGAAGCACCTGCTCGTGTCGAGCCGTGTTGGAGCGCTGCGGGCGGGAGGGGAGCCCGGCTGAAGCCAGAGCAGCTCGGGACATGTGCTGCCGTACACGGGACAGGGCCGGACGCCTGGGCCTCCCTGGCGGTGCCTTGTTCCCCCCCTCCCTTTTCCTCCCTTGGTTTTGGGAGAGATTGTGAAATTCCATGTCACGCTCGCGCTGGCGTTGGGCAATCGCTGCTGTTGCCCCGGGCCAAGTGCGCCGAGTTGTGGCTGGGTCTCAGCCCCCTCCCTGCTGTGGATCCAAGCCCCCATGCAGTAACAGGGGTGCCCAAGGCCTTGGGCCCCCCCAGGACCCCCCTCCCGAGCCGGGCAAGGCGAGCCGTGACGCAGCCAGGGGGTGAATCAGCTCCAGGGTGGAGCCGCCCGGCAGGAAAACCGGGAAAGGAGCAAAGGGGAAAAATGGGAAAATCCGACTTTCTCCTGCTGCGACCAGGGGTGACGCAGGAGCAGGGGGGTCCCTGCCCCGTGTCCCCCCCCGTGTCCCCCCCCCGGCGCCATGGGGAGGGCCAGCAACGTCACCGTGAGTCACACGCGGGCCGGGCCCCTCGCGCTTCATAAGACAGCGGCGGCAGCAGGCGCCCTGCAGCAACGCCATGGCCGCCTTCCTCCTCCTCCTCCTCCTCCTCGGCGCCACCGGTGAGTAGTGCCTGGACGCCTGGGCCCCGCTGAGGGCAGTGAAGGGCAGCTGGGAGGACTGAGATGAGTTGGTTGGGTCTCAGCACGGGCAGGACTTAGAGCCCCGAGGGTGTCGGGTGCAGGGTCCTTGGATGGTCTCCTTGTCTGCATTCCCAGGTGCCGGTGCCGACCTGGTCCCGGGGCCCCTCGAGACCCTGACCCAGGTGGAGCTAAAGCTGCAGCCGCTGCAGCAGGAGCCAGGTGAGGAGTGTGAGGATACCGGGATGGGGCTGTTGGAGACACCGGCGGCACTCAGGGTGGAGACACTGGCAGTGGGGGTGTTGGGAACGCCAGGGACTCTGGGGACACCTGGGATGGGGATAATGGGGATACTGGAGACATAGGAATGGGAACATTTGGGACACCAGATACAGGGATAATAGGGACAGTAGAGATTCCAGGGACAAGGGCAGAGGCACTGTGGAATCAGGGATAGGGACACTAGGGACACCAGGAGCAGGAACGCAGCGGACACCAGAGACGTGAAGGACAGGAACACGGGGGCCATGGTAAATGGGGACACCTGGGACAGCAGCAGCAGGAACACGGGGGACATTAGGAATGAGGACATAAGGAATGCCATGAGCAGGGACACAGGGAACACGAGGGACATGAGGGAGGGAGATGTCAGGGACACTGCAGACAGCAGGAACAGGGATGTGAGGGACATCAAAGGCAGAAACACCAGGGACAGCATGGGCACAGGGGGATGGCAGGGACAGAGGTGCAGAGACATGAGGGACAGGAACACTGGTGGCACCAGGGACTTAGGTGCAGGGACATGAGGGGACACTGGGAACACCAGACAGGGGAGTGGGGACAGCCCCTCCAACATGTGCTGCATGTCCCCATCCCCGCGCACCACATGCAGGACGTGTCCCGCCTCGGCCAAGCCTTGGGGACACGTCCCCAGGGTGGCACCCCCACAACGTGCTGTCCCTGCAGCTGTGCTGCTCCCGGTGACGCTGCAGCAGGAGCAGGAGCCGCCGAAGGCGCTGCCACCGCGCTGGGGCAGTGACCTGGCCTCCTTCCCGCCCGCGCGGCCCGGTGACGATGCCACCGTCGCCCGTCTCTGCCGCCACCCGCAGCCGGCCGCGGTGTCGCCGTCGGACCTGCCGCGCACCGGCTTCTCCCACCTGCGGCGCCAGGCGGAGGCCCTGGGTCACCTGCAGCGGCGCCTCCGCGGCTGCTGCCACCAGCCCCAACCCCTGCCCTGTGCGCAGCAGGCGGTGAGTCCGTGGGGCCGCGTGTCCCTAGCGCTTCCTCGTGTCCCCAGTGAGTCCCAGTGTTTCCAGTGCATCCCTCTGTCCCCAGTGCTTCATGTCCCTACTGTGTCTTCATGTCCCCAGCATGTTCCCGTGTCGTCCCCAGTGTGTTCTCCTGTCCCCAGTGCTGTATGTCCCCAGTTCCCCCAGCACATCCCTATGCTCCCAGTGTGTCCTACCATGCCTAGCACGTCCCCGTGTCCGCAGTGCATCCCCAGCGTGTCCCCGTGTCCCCAGCGTGTCCCAGCATCACACGGCGCTCGCTCCCTGTGCAGTGGTTGGAGGTGCTGGACAGTTTCTGCGAGGACGAGTTCCGCGTGAAGACCCGTCACTACCGGTGCTGCCTGCGGCACGGCAGCGAGCGCCAGCGCTGCTTCGAGGAGGCCGCGGGCGACGACGGCACCGCTGCCGCCCCGCAGCCCGTGGAGACCCCGCGGCTGCCGCCGCCGCTCGCCTTCCCGCCCGGCGAGCCCACGGAGGCCAACATGGGGAACATCTGCCGCCTGCGGCGCTTCCGCCTGGCCGCCGCCGCGTCGCCGCCCGCCGGCTCCACGGGCAGGAGCAGCGCGAGGGCCGTCGCCCGCCTCGAGCGCGACTACAAGGGCTGCTGCCGCAGCGGCGGCCTGGACTGCGCCCGTGCTGCCGTGAGTGGGGCCGCTCCGCGTTGGGGGCCCAGGCGTCCGGGCGCCCGTGGCGCTCAGCGCATCTCTCTCGCCTCGCGCAGTGGCGCCAGACGCTGGGGCGGTTCTGCCAGGAGGAGAGCGCCGTGAAGACGCAGCAGCCGCGGTGCTGCCGGCGCGGCGCGGGGGACGCGCGCTGGCGCTGCTTCGCCGCCGAGGCCCCCCAGCCCGCGTACGACCGCGAGCTGCGCGCCGCCAGCCTGGCCCCGCTGCGCGCCCCGCTGCTGCACGCGCTCTGCACCCACGCGCAGCTGCTCACCAAGCGGTCAGTGCCCGCGCGGGGCCGCCCCCACCCTCTGCTGGGGTGGCTCTCTGCACCCCAGCCCTGGCACAACCCGGGAGGGGCCCGGGCAGCCAGGGTGCATTTCTCTCCCCACAACCTCCCCCACAAGTTGTTCATCCCCAGCCCAGCCCTACCGCAACCTGGGAGGGGCCCAGGCACCTGGGATCTAGTTCCACACCCCCGTCCTGCCCAGATATTCCCCAATCCTGGGAGACCCCAGAGGGGCCCAGGCGTCCAGGTCCCATTCCAACCTCCCTGCCTTCCTGCTGCTCCTCCAGATGCCATTCACTGGTGGTGCCCATGAGGGGTGCCACATTCCCCAGTGCTAGGAGCCCCAGAGCGGCCCAGCCATCCGTGCTATCTTCCAGCCCTGTCTCCCCGCAGGAAGCCGGTGCTGGTGCTGGTGCAGAACATCACGGACACCTGCTGCCCCCGCGACGACGCCGAGCGAGTGGCCTGCGCCGAGGAGGAGGTGGGTGAGCGCGCGAGCCCCCCGGCCCCCCTGCCAGGGTCTGGCAGGCACGAGCAACTTGTCGTCCTGCAGAAATCCCGCTCCATCGACGCGCTCTGCTCCTCACTGCGCGGCTCCTGGAAGGACCCTGAGCACTGCTGCGACGCCACCGAGCGCCACCGCTGCTTCGACAGCCGCTACCTAGCCCAGGTGGAAGTCGCCTCTGCCACCCCCGAGCTGCTGCCCCAGGAGCAGGACTAGGACCCGACTCGGCTATGACGGTGCTGGGGGGACAAACGGGACCACGTCGCGGTCCCTTGTCCCCTGCTGCAAAGGCCACAATAAAGTCTTTGTCCGCAGTGCAGTTCTGCTGTCCCCTCCCTGTTCCCCTCTGTCCGTCGGTCTCCACGGGGCGGGATGCAGCTGTTTGTGTTTCGGGGTGTGACAGCGGCGCCCGCGGGCCCAGGCATTCGGGCGCCGAAACCGCTGGTGCGTGGGCGTCTGGGCGGGAGCCGCGGGCCTGAGGGTTGCGCCGTGGGGCTCTGCACATCCGCCCCCCGCCCCGTCTCCCCTGCCTGTCCCTGTGTCCCCTATGGGAACTGCCTGGCACCCACGATGTCCCCCATGGGGCCAATGCCCTCTATGGTGTCCCCATGTCTCCATATCCCTCATACTGTCCCCATGTACCCCATATCCCAATGCTGTCCCCACCATGATGTCCCCGTGTTGCCCACAGCCCAGCATTCCCCATAGTGTCCTCGTGTACCCCCACATCTGCTCCTCACATACCCAAGTCTCCCCTCGTGTCCGCATTTCCCCCATGGAGTCCCCATGTCCTCAGCATCCCCGTGTCCCCCATGGTGCCCCCATGTCCCTCATTGTCCCCATGCCCAGAGGTAGTGAATTTGCCCGGTCTCTGCCCGGGGAGGGTGATGTCCCCATGGCCTGCGGTGGCACCAGCCCCAGACGTGACGTTGCTGCAGGACGGGGACAGACAGAGCTGCTTGTGTCAACACGGCTGGAGCTGCTGGGTCCCCCTCGCCACCACAGCGGCCACGCGGGGACCTGAGGCCCTCGCTGGCCTGCAGCGCACCCGGGAGCCGCTTGGATGCACTTGGACGTGCTTTCCAATGGACCCTTGTTCCTGTACCCCCTTTTCGCACCCTGATTTTTGCACCCTCGGGGGAGATCAGAGGTAACTGCGGGGCACACGAAGCTGGGATGAGCCTCCCCAGCCCGTGTTGTCCCCACGGCTGACGTTGCTGAGCACAGTGGCAGTGGCTGGTGACACAGCGAGATCACTGACCTCACCCCAGGACTGGCCCTGCCGGAGAGACGGGATGGGGATAGGATTGAGACAGAGACAGGATGGAGAAAGAGACAGGCTGGGGATGAGGACAGGAACAGGGACAGAGTGGGGACAAGGTGGGGATGGAGACAGCGTGTGGCCTGAGGACAACCCAGGTGCGCCCAGAGGCTGGGGCAGGAGCTGCCGCCAGGGACTGGAGTGGGCAGAGCCCTGGTCCGATGCCCCCAGTCCGGTCCTGCCTGGTCTGCTCCCTGTTCCCGGTTCGGTGTCCCCTGTTCTGCTTCCCCCCATTGTTTTTGCCCGTTCTGGTGCCTGCAGGCAGAGCGGGGCCAGGGCCGCGCTGCCCCATGCCCTACCCGTGCAGCGGCGCCGAATCCAGCACCGGCAGCGGCCCGCGACGGGCAGCGGTGCTGGCAGCAGTGGAGAAACAGCGGGAGCGCCGGCAATCGCGACCTGCACCAACCAGGACCGGGACCAAGGACGGGTCCCCAGAGCTGGCCCTTGCCCTACCCCTATGGCTATCCCATCCCCAACCCCATTCCAATCCCCATCCCCAACCCCATTCCTCTCCCATCCCTGTCCATGTCCTCATCCCTATCCCTGTCCCGACTCTCATCCCCGTGCCAGACCCTCGTCCCCTCCTTGTGCTGCATCCCTGGACAGGGGAGCTGGGGAGGATGGACACATGGACACATGGATGGACAGACACAGCTGTGGGGAGGAGCACTGTTGAGTCCCCATGTTTGTGACTCCGTCTGCCTCCTTCTCTGGCTGCTCCATCTGCATCCCACCCTGGCTTGGGCTCCCCCCAGCATTTTGCCAACCTAGGACCAGCTTTTCCCCCTTTCCAGCAGCCCAGGAAACCCCAGCTTGGAGGACCCCAACCCGTGCCCATCCCTGTCCCCACAGGCCATGTGTGCTCCGCCAGCAGGGAAGAGGACAGCGGAGGATCAAGGAAAGGCACCTTTTCCACTTGCAATTCCCTTGGGAACGGATCGGAACCAAGGAACACATGGAAACAATGGGAAGGATGCCCTATGGGCTTAATTTTTATATCCTTTTTTTATACGGATAAGACTGCAGGGGCTTCTTTTTGGGGTCACTGGGGGCACAGAATAGTCCCTGTCACTTATTTCCTCTGTTGTTTTCCCTTTCCCCATGGGGCGGTGGTGCTGCTGGGGCAGCGGGTGGTATCTCTCCTGCTTGCAAATATAGCAAGCTTTTTTACAGCCGTCTTAGCGCAAGCCGCTTTCCCGTGGATGCTGGGCCTGATCCCAACCCCTGCTCCGGACACTCTTTCCGTCAGCTCCGCTGGAAACGGCAAGCAGATCCCATCCGTGCTTCCGCCCTGCAGCCCAAAATACTTCCAGTTCCTCCATTCCCAAGGGATTTCAGGGGGCAGCAGACAGGTGCGGGGCAGGACAAGGTGACCCAGTTGCTCGCAGGAGCTTCCAGACCCCAAAGATTTCCAATTCCTGCTTAATTTTCCCTCACTCTTTCCCCTCGTGATTTCAGCAGTTCTGTCTATTGTGTTTTCCCAGCAGGAGACAGGACTTTTGCTGAACAAGAGAGAGGAAAAGCAGAGGAGGGAGGCGTTTTCCTGGCCTCCGGGCACTATTTTGGGGCCAGATCCAAGGATTTGTCCAAGCGCTGCATCCTGCACCAGGGAGGTAAATCTGCCACGTCGTCTGGGAGGGAACCGCAGCTATTGGATTCACGGGGGTCAACTCCCCTCCAAATACCCCAAAACGTCCACTCTGGGGCTGTCTCTTGGCTTCCAGAGCACAGAGACAAAGGGGACCTGGTTGTGGATCCGGCCTCTGGGCGTGCTGGAAAAGTTCTTTATTTCCTCTCCCAAAAGCGTCACCCCTTGCAGTGGGTGCAGTTGGGGGAACACTGTGGGAGGGGGGCACCCCTGCTGAGCACGGTGCGCTCAGTGCACATGTGACAGTGCAGGGAGCTGAAACTGCCCAGTCCCGGGGCCAGGATGCCCGGGAGTCCTGGGAAACCGGGCTCTTTCCCATCCCACCGGCTTTTCCGCCAGGCTTGGCACCCAATGCTGCTTTTATTCCTTGTTTTTCTTGGCATGGGGCGAGAAAACCCGGGTGCAAATCCCCCCCTGCGTCCCAACTGGCCAAGCCTCAGTTTCTCAGACATGGGGCAGGGTTAATTAGTGCTGGACTAAAGAGGCTGCCGGTGGGGACTGGTGAGTGCTGTTATCCCGCCCTTTCCCTTCTCCCCCTCTCCAGGATTAGCCAGCAAAGGGGGGCATCACCAGGGCTTAATGCCCTGGGCATTAATTAGCCCTAATCCTATTCTTTGCTGCACTAAAGCCCACGCAGTGCAGCCGTGGGGCTTAGCGTGGGGCGGGAGGTCCCCTGGTGCCGGCCACCTCCCCTCCCTGTGCGCTGGCTGGGAGCAGGTCGTGCTTCCGTGGCCCGCGGAGCCGGAGCTGATGCTGCCGCCTGGCCCCCGGCACTGAGCGCGGAGGAGCCCGCAGGCCATGGGCGGGCTTCGCAGGTACCGCTGCCCGTCCGTCTGTCCCTCCCGGCACCCCCCCCTGCTGCCGACTGTCCTCCTCTCCCTGGGCAGCGCCAGGCTCATCCGGCCTTCGTGCCCAGAGCCAGCTGCCCATCCCGGGATTCCATCTAGCCCTGCAGCCATTTGTCTGCCCAGATCCATCCATCCATCCATCCATCCATCCATCCATCCATCCATCCATGCATCCATCCACCCATCTCCAGATCCATCCGTCCATCTCCATTCCTAGCTCCATCCCTTCCAGAAGCACCATCCATCCCTTTTCCCCATCTCCTTCCCTGGACCACGCCACCCTGTCCATGTCTGTGCCCCCCCCGCCCCGCGCGCCCATCCCCGCGGCGCCCGGCCTCACGGCGCCGGCTCTTGCAGGCTCCGGCTGGCTGCTCTCTGGCGTCTGCTCCTGGGAATGCTGCTGCGGATTGAATGGGCCCACGGACACGTGAGTCCCCGATGTCCCCCAAGAGTGTCCCAGGGTCCCCAAGGCCATGTGGCACCTGAGGGTCCCCAACACCCTCCTCTCTGGAGGGGGAGCCTCTGGGAAACCTCTTACCCTTCAGCACCCCAGGGACCGCCGGAGCAGTCCTGAGGCACATGCCTATGGGGAGGGTACCCATGGGGCAGGTGACAATGGGATGCCTATGGGGCAGGTGCCAATGGGGAGGGTTCCTGCTGGGTGGTTGCATGGAGTGGGGATATGGGGGGGTGACTACAAGATAGGTGCCTTTGGGATGCTATGGGGCAGGTGCCTATGAGGTGGGTGCCCATGGGGGCAAGTGCCTGTTGAATGGGTGGCTATAGGGTGAGTGGGATTGGGGTGTCTACGAGGCAAGTGCATATGGAGGAGGTGCCTATGGGTGCCAGGCTACGAGGTGCTTATATGGGGGAGTGCCAATGGGGGGTGCATATGGGGCAGCTGCCTACAGGGCAGCTGCCTATGGGATGCTAGGCTAGTAGGTGCCTATGGAATGGCTACAGGGTGGGTGCCTATGATGGGGTGCCAATGGGGTGGCGTCTATGGGGTGGCTACAGGGTGGTACCTATGGGGGGTATCTATGCAGTGGGTACCTTGGTGCTGTCCATGGGGCGAGCATCCCTGCCCATGGGGTGGCTGCTGAGGGCTCCCAGGTGCCACCCTCTGTCCATGTCCACCCAGGTGCCGCAGGCTGCTGGGGTGGCTGTGGGGCAGGAGCCGCCATGGGGTGTGTGGGCACCATGGGGCACGTGGGGACCCTGCTCACAGCCCTGTGGGCCGGGGCTGCAGCAGCGCTCACGGGTCTGTGCCTCCTCTGCGCTGCGGGGTACCCCCTTGGTCCCCCATGGATACCCTGTGGCCACGACCCACAGGTGAGTGGGTGGCGGGGAGCGGGCTGTGGGGCTGCCCCAGGATTCCGGTTGCCCACTCGGATGCTGCCCCATAGAGCTCGGCCTCCCGTGCGCCCGGGTCGCTACGGCTATGGGACGGCGCCCTTGGCCCTGCCGCTGCTCACAGACCGACCCCTGAGGCGTCACCGGCAGCCGCCCCATGGTGCCCCCCGCCCTGCGCCCCACGGTGCCCGGGCACCCACTGTAGAGGAAATGCAGCCGTCCCCGAAGGGGGACCCCCAGCAGCCTCGTGGCCATGGGAGGGGGTCACAGCAGGCCCATGGCTCCCGTGTCCCCATAGGTGACTCCGAGCATTCCCGTGTCCCCAAGCGTGACCCCTATCATCCCCACGGCTCCCATGTCCCCTTAAGTGACCCCCAGCACCCTCACAGCACTCATGTTCCCAAGGGTGACCCTCAATATCCTCTTGAGTCCCATGTCCTAAAGGGTGTTCCACATCGTACCCATGTCCCCAAGGGCGATCCTCAGCATCCTCACAGCACTCATGTCCTCAAGGGTGATCCTGAGCATCCCCATGTCCTGAAGGGTGCCCTCCAACATCCCCATGGCTCCCATGTCCCCATAGGTGACCCTGAGCATCCCCATGTCCCCGAGGATTATCCCTATCATCCTCATGGCAGCCGTGTCCCCATTGGTGACCCCCAGCATCCTCACAGCTCCCATGTCCTCAAAGGTTATCCCCAACATCCTCACGGGTTCCATGTGCCCATGGGTGGCCCCCAGCACCCCACTGCCCCCAAGGGCATCCCCCAACATCCCCATGTCCATAAAGGTGATCCTGACCACCCCCATGGCTCCCATGTCCCCATAGCTGACCCTCAAGATACCCATGCCCCCAAGGGTGCCCCCCAAAATCCACATGTCCCCCCAGGCGACCTCCAATATCCCTATGTCCCCAAGAGTCCCCGTCACAGCCCCCACACCTCTGCTAGTGCCCCCCAGCATCCTCATGTCCCCCACCTCCCCATGGGTGGTCCCCCGCAGCCCCCCAGCCCCCCAGCTTCCCCCTGGCTGCCCCCCGGGGGCATCCTCGAGCCCCCCCAGAATGTCCCTGCTGTGGGACCTGGTCCCTTGTGTGCCGGCGAGAGTCACCAGCTGCGCGCCTGCCTGCTGCAGGTGGGCATGGGGACATGGGCACGGGGATACGGGCGGGGTCCATGGGGCAGTGTCTGTGGCTGGAGGTCTGTGGGGTGAGTGTCGCAAGTGGGTATCAGAGGTGGGGGTCATGGGCGGGTGACACACGTGGGTGGCCCCCATGGGGTGTCCCACCTGGGGGCAGGTGTCATGGATGGGTGTCACGGGTGGATGTCCTCCATGGGTGAGGGTCCCACATGGGTGTCATGGGTGGGTGCTCCCTGCGGATGGGTGTCACACGTGGCTGTCATACGTCCCCCATGGGTGAGGGTCCCATACGGGTGTCATGGGTGGGTGCTCCCTGC